GTTGTGCTATATATATATATATATATATATACATATGAAATTAAAAACAAATTGAATTTTAAAAAAATATGTTTTCTTTGCTATTTACTAATGTGCTAATACTTTTTAACTATAAGAATAAATACATGTAGTATTATTATTTATTCTTCGTTAAAATTTAGTTTTAATGTTTACTCTCATTTTAATTCATACTTTGAGTATCATTAAAATACAATTAGTACTTTTTTTAATCAAATATTGATCTTTTAAATAATACATCAAAGTAAAATTTTCAAATACATATAATCATTTTGATCTAATTCTGATCTGTACAGTGGCCTTAGTATCAAGAATGAAACTAAATAGAAACGAAGAATAAATAGGAAGAAAAAATAAATAGAAAAATAATAATAACCGAAAAAGTTTGAATAAAAAAATACTTTTTCTCCACATTTAACTATACGATTTAAATACATGTAGTATCAATATTTACTCTTCATTAAAATTTTGTTTTAATGTTAACTACCATTTTAATTCATAATTTAAGTATCTTAAAAACAAAATTATTGCCATTTTTGATTAAATATTGAGCAAGTTTTAATGTCAATAAACTGATTTAGCTTTTTAATATTACATTCAAGTAAGACTTTCAAATAAATATCAATTTGATCTAAGTCTGGTCAGCGACCTTAGCATCAAGAAGGAAACTATAGAAACTAAGAAACTAAGAATAAATAGGGGAAAAAAGTTAATAAAAAAAATAATGAAATATAGAATTGTGAATCTAATCCACAGTTTCATGGTTCTGAATAAATCTATGACTCAATGAAAAGATGTGCCCATGTAGATAAAAAAAATAATGAAAGGTAAATAATAAGCTATCCCAAATAAAATCAGACTTAATTTTTCATATATTTCCATTGAAATTTCCAAGAGAGAAAAAATTAACTGAAAAATATTATTTGAATACAAAAATTAAAATGAAATTTACATATATTTATTTAAATAGTAGAACAGATAATTTTTTATTTAATAATTTTAGCACAGATCTATGGAGAACAATAAATCTTTTCCTTGCTTTATTCATAGATCTAATGACCAGGATCCATCTTTATGAAGAAGTTAAAGGTAATTAGCCATGTGAAAACATAACAATACCGAGCCTAACCCTTACATAAAACTTATAAAATGCTTCTACTAAAAAAAGACGTAAAAAATAATTAGGAGAACGAATTTTAAAAAGAAAAAAGACACTATAGATAAAAGACCTGGAAAATAGATAGAGATTCAAAGTCATAGAGCTACTCTTGATAAAATGTATAGGGTCAAAGAATAAAATTAGAAAGAAATAAACAAAACAAAGGTAACCTATTTTTCATATTCTATCAAATACCTCAACCATAACTTACTAAACATCAGAAACACTAGAAAGATTAAAGTGATGAGGAAACAGGCCATGTAGCCAAATCTTTCAACAAAAAATAAGCACTATGTACAGTAACAAAATAATGCAATATATTTTTTAAATACTTTAAATGATCATGATAAAATAACCAGTTTCTGACAAAGAACTCTTTCTTCTTTTTAATTATATTTCAGTTTGATTTCAGGGGTGAAAAAGGAAGATTGAAATTAAGAATATCTGGCAAAGAGTTGCACATGAGAGCCCAAGAATCTCACCGAACCCAAGCTCAGTAAACGCACATATGGACCTGCAAGTATTTCAACAAACGTGTAAAATGATTGACTTTTATACACTACTGAAACACATAACGCCGAAATGCATTCCATTTGAATGAATTGTGAAAACGTTGAAAAGATCAATGTGAAAACCACTCTTTTGCGTATCAAGTGATGAAAATCAACAAGGCAAAGAAAAAAATTTCATTTTCAAAAGGAAAATTAAGCACTATCAGAAGTATANACCCAATAAAAAATCCTCTTTAAAGGCTTTTAAAAATTTAAAAAGCGTAAATTGAAAATAAGTACTTCTTAAGAAAACTACACACCATGGGGAAAATAATTATTCATTCATAAAAAACACTTAAATTAACCTGAAACAAATATAAAACAGTTAAGGAATGAATTATTGTTATTTATTACTTAATACAGATACAAACTATAAAAATAAGATGCTACACACGGCTTCTCTTTTAGGTTTTTTACTTATAAGTAATAAAACATTAAACAAATAAGAATATCGGTCAATAAAAATAATCAATCCTCTAAATTTTTATAAAATAAAGAAGCAACCAGTTAAAAACACTTTGCTAAAATAAAAATTACCTTTCATTACGTTTGAATTCACAATTATTTTATGACTCACAGGTAAGAAGCTTTTCATATGTATCATTCCATGCAGTTTGCACTTTTGAATTATTCCCCGAAAATAAATAAGTTTTAAAATCATATAATGTTATGCTTAAGAACAAATAATACATTTAATAATAAGTAAAATAAAGCTAGAATACTTTTTTAAATTAAAAACTACTCAAACATTATTTCAGAAAAAAGAAAAAATATGATGAAATGTTTCCAAATTAACTCAAAATAAATTAAATTTAAAAAGTTAAAAGATCATATTTTACTTAAAATAGTTGATCCAAGGTTATATAAAAAATAGAACACAATTTTAAAAACAGGAGGATTTTATATCATATGTACTAAATNATTAAATTTATAAAGTTAAAAGATTATATTTTAGTTAAAATAGTTGATCCAAGGTTATATAAAAAATAGAACACAATTTTAAAAACAGGAGGATTTTATGTTATATGTACTTAATTTTGAACTATACAAAGACAATTTTATAGAACTCAACTGATGTGGTGCAGTTACAAAAGAAGCTACTTGCAATGATGATTTCACTCGTATAAAATATCATGCAATATTTTTTAAAACTTTATCTGTGTTTCAAATTGTTTTTCTAAGAATAACTGTAAAGCAAAAATGACAAAATATAAACCAATTTTGGAAAATAGCTGTTTAATATATGTGTGTATATATACATATATATATTAAGAGCTATTCTTAAAAATTAGTTCACATTTAGTAATTTTCGCTCAAAGTTCAAAATGTGGAGAAAACATGGAAAAAATTACAGAATATTGAAAAAAGAAAATTATTTTTAAAAAATTAGAAAAAAATGAATACAAATCTGGGGGTAAAAAAACAAAGTATAGAATCTTTTCACATGACTATATCCGCTATTTCTTTAGTGCTCCTCATACTATTGTATTGATGTATTTTGCATGGACTATATTGATACAATATTAGAAAGCACTCCTTTTCGCGGATATAATCGCGTGAGCTGATGAAGAGATTATATCTTTTCTCCCCCGCACTTTTATTAATTTCTTTTAAATATTTTTTTCTTCATTCTGTAATTTTTTCCATGTTTTCTCTACATTTTGAACTTATTTTATGAGTTGTATGTACTTGCAGATTAGGCTCAGTAAATAAAACTTACTGATTTTCTTAATTTCCCTTGTTTTTCTCCTTTTTCTTTTTATTTATTGTGCTATATATATGTGTGCGTGTGTGTGTGTAACTTTACAATATAACAAAACTTTATTAACTGGAGCACCCAAACTTAATTAACAAAAAGATTATTTAGATTGATAATTCTTAGTCACTTCAGTCTTAAGTAATAATCTTCAAATTTTTCTTCATTCTTGAAAGTTTTCCTTTCAGACAGAAATAAATTTAAAGAATTACCAATCTAACAAAACACACCCTGAAGCATTTCTTTAAGAAAGCAGTTAACTACAAAAAAATTTACTTATCAGTTTAAAACATTCTTCAGACATTATTTACAGTGGTAATTCTCAATCTTTTTAATAAAAAAAGATTTAAATAATTATTTCCAAAAAATTTATATGTACACTTGAAGGGAAAACAAAACCATAAATTGGGCAGAAAATAATTTTGAATTAAAAAGAATATAGCCTCAATTTGTTTCAACAATCCCCCAGTACAACAAAATATTTTGAAATAACTCAACATTGTTTTATGAATATCTAAGAAATGATGGCATTGCACTTTTAGGAAAAGCAACAAAGAAATGATATTCAGAAAATGTCCAGGTAAGGAATAATTTGAAAAATTGTAAAAATATCAAATTCAACAAATCAAAAGGTTTTAAACGTGGTAACATTATAATAAAAAAAGTAATAAGTTCATAGATCTTCTATTAATTTTTTTAATACTACTTCATATAAAATTGATAAATTAACTAACATGTTGTAAAATTTTGAACTAACTACGTTTTGTTATAAAATAATTTATTACCTCTTTAGAAATATGGACCCCTATTTTTTCAATAACATCAACAAACACTTCAGTCTTCAGGTTCTACAAAGGAAAAATTAAGCTAAATTTATCTTTTTGGTGCAAGGAAAAAAAACTAAATAAATAAACAAGAAATGCTTTCAAATAACTGTGTGATACAGTGTGCACTTTCTTCGATACTTAAAATTGTTTCATATCCACTGATTTCGGTCTTCTTTAATGTTTACATGAAAAATGATTAATTTTTACATGAAATTAGTTGTATTTTATTTTGATCAGTTAAAACATTAAAATTTTCTAGTTATTTTTTCTTAACTATAAAATAACTTTTCTATTTGCTAAAAAAAATTATGAATGCCAAAACTGTTTCAAGAATTCATGAGTTTATTAAAAAAAGAAGGAAATTTAAGTTATTAGAAAAATAAAATGCTAGGAATATTATAGTGAACTAATATTACCTGTATTATAATTTTAGAGCTTTCTGCACTTGTTTTCAACTAAAGTGGAATAATCTTTAAAAAGACGTTCACAGAACAATAACTCATTTTCAAATAGTTTACGTACTTGAATTTTTTATTATTCAGTAATTACACATCCTACAGTTTTGTTGGGTAAAACTCTTTTACAAGGTCTTTCTAATGAAATTTTTGTAAATGAATTTTAATCCATAATTCAGAAAGCGAGTTTGATTCAAGTTTTAATCTGTCATATATATTGCATGATATAGACTGAAGCAGTGCAATAACACCTTACAAATTTGTCAACAGATAATTTAGTAAAAATATCTATCTATAAAAGTGCGTTTCTTACAAATCTAAAAGACTGAAAAATATAGTTTACTGCAGATAATATGAGTTTAAAGTTTTAATAAAGTGCAAAAACAAATTTATAAAACAAACTGAAATAGATTCTTATTTTACTATATTACTTTTTCTTACTTTATTATGCCTGGTATAAACAAATAAAACAAATTATTCAAAAACTAGAAAACGATTAATTTGAAATTTTAACTAAATACTTTTCCATTTTCAAAATCTTATTTATTCACTGTAAACAAATATAACAAATCTAAAACAAAAGTTACAGAGCTTAAATTTTTAATGGGCCCAAGAAAGAAAGTAACAGCTGAAAAATGTTTCAGCTGAAAAATGCAACAGCTGAAAAGAAATGAAAAACTATGCTTTTATAAATTGAGCCACCGTTTCACGAAGAATGGGTAGGAATTGGCTTGGTAGTAATTGGTGTTTTTGAAAATCAGAGTTATGTTTAAAACACTTATTGTTGTTGTAGGCCATTAGGGTATGATTGCATTTGTTTTCTAGTGGCACAATCTATAACCAAGAATTTGACTTCTGCCACACCCAGACCCCGTTTTCACGAACACGAGTCCCGCCCACTGCTAACCAGAATATCCCTTTAAAACACTTGCTTTTCACATTAAACAAAACACTTATTTTAAGCATGTTTCTTTAAACATTATTCTTTGTTAAGTTCAGAAATTGACATAGAAAATTCTAAGTCAGAGAAGCACCTATATCTTAGTACAAAAACCATAAGTTTAAAACAAATTATTTGCTTACAGCAACTGAACCTAAATTGGCAATTATTTTAGCTCATTAAAAAGATATTGATAAAAAAGTGTTTCCAGCAAAGTCTCATGCAGTTTAACGCTCACTTGCAGAATTAAAAACAAAAATTTCCAACAAGGTTTTTTTTGTAGAAAGAAAAATACGACTATTTTTGGGGTTGCTAAAGCAGCAAAACTTGAAACAATATTCAAAGATTTTACAAAATAATACATCTTTATGTTTTTAAAGTAAATGTGCTTTAAAATAATTATTTTTTACTTTGTAAATAAAAAACAATTTTAATGCCTACATGAAAAAAAGAAATCTGCGCGAATGTTCCTTGCATTAAAAAAAGTATTTGCAGAAAGAAAAATAAGACTATTCTTTTTTAATGCAATGTATTTGTAGAAGGAAAAAAATTGTAGAAAAAAAATAAGACAATTGGTGGGTTGCTAAAGCAACAAAATTTGTAACAATATTCAAAGCTCTTATGAAATAAAATATTTCATGTTTCTAAAGTAAAAGTGCTTTAAAGCAAGTTTCTTTCACATTGAAAATAAAAAACAATTTTAACACATACATACAAAAAAAATATAACTATTCTTACTATATTTCTTTCTACAAAGTATTTGTAATAAAAAAGGACTTTTAGGGGATTGTTAAAGCAACGATATTCAAAGTTCTTACAAAATAATAAATTTTTATATTACTAAAACAAATGGGCTTTAAAATAAACTTCTTTCACAATATAAATAAAAAAAATTTTAATGTATACTTGAAAGAATAAAATATGCACGAATATTCCTTGCAGTAAAAAAATGTTTCATGCAAAACATTTATTATTACAATCATTTCATTTCATAGAATGCGAAACATATTAATTTTTTTTAATGTTAATTCATATAAAATGGATAAACTAACTAAGACATGTTGTACAATTTTAAACTAACTATGTTTTGTAATCGAATAATTTATTACCTCTTTAGAAATATGGACCACTATTTTCTCAATAACATCAACAAACACTTCATTCTTCAAGTTCTATAAATGAAAAATTCAGCTAAATTTAACTTTTTGGTGCAAAGACAAAAAACCAAATAAATAAACAAGAAATGCTTTTAAATAACTCTGTGATACAACATGCACTTTCTTCGATACTTTAAACTGTTTAATATCCACTAGTTTCTCTAATTTTTGCATGAAATTAGTTGTATTTTATTTGTATCGGTTAAAACATTAAAATTTTCTATTTAAGTTTTTAACAATAAAATAGCATTTCCTTTTGCTGAAAATAAATTATAAATGCCATAACTGTTTTAAGAGTTCATGATTTATTAAAAAAAAGAAAGAAATTTAAGTTATTAGAAAAACAAAATGCAAGGAATATTACAGTGAACTAATATTACTTGCATTATAATTTTAGAGCTTTCTGAATTTGTTTTCAACTAAAGTGGAATAATCTTTAAAAAAAAGTTCACAGAACAATAACCCATTTTCAAATAGTTTACTTATTTGAATTTTTTATTATTCAATAACTACACATGCTACAGTTTTGTTGGGTAAAATTTTTTTACAAAGTCTTTGTAATAAAATATTTGTAAAGGAATTTGAATTCATAATTCAAAAAGCGATTTTGATTCTAGTTTTAATCTGTCATATATATTGCATGATATAGACTGAAGCAGTGCAATAACACCTTACAAATTTGTCAACAGATAATTGTGTAAAAATATCTATCAATAAAAGTGCGTTTTTTACAAATCTAAAAGATAAGACTGAATATAATTTACTGCAGAATTTAAAGTTTTAATAAAATGTAAAAACAAATTTATAAAGCAAACTGAAATAGATTCTTATTTTACTATTATTTTTTCTTATTTTATTGTGCCTGGTATAAACAAATAAAACAAATTATTCAGAAACTAGAAAACGATGAATTTGAAGATTTTAACGAAATACTTTTCAATACTCAAAATCTTATTTACTTACTGTAAACAAATATAACAAATCTAAAACAAAAGTTACAATACTAAAAGTTTTAATGAGTCAAAGAAAGAAAGTAACAGCTGAAAAATGTTTGACTTAATGATTAGATTTTTAGTACTAACATAAAATGTTAATAACTTTAGAATTATTAACATTATTAACGATCTAAATTATTCTTAGAAATTTGTATAGACGATATTTAAACAGAAAATTCAGTCATGAAAACGTCTTTAAATAATCTTTCTATGTTAGCACTCAAGGAGGACATCTCTTAAATTTGATCTCAATAGAAAGCAGTTGAATGTTTGGTTCTTTAATGTTAATTTTACTTTTTGCGTATGCCCTTTTTGAACTTGATGCACTGTACTTAATAAGTAGTTTTGCATAAAAAATCACGCCTTAACTGATGTTTCTTTCTTTAAAGATTGCATAAATTATATTTACATAATAAAGAATCTAATATAAAAATATACCTAAAACAAAAAATACCACCAGCTCAGATCTAGATTTTACTAATGGTCTTCCTGCATCCAGATTAGGAAGAAATTTTTTTTCCAGTCCAAACTAAAAAAAAGAAAGAATAAATTTGAATATGAATTTTTATTTCTTTCATTTACCAAACTATGATAACTTAACATGGTAATAAACTGAGTACCTTTATAATTTTATGTTTTACAATTCATTCTTAGCAAATTATCAATTTCAATAATGTAAAAACTTCCAAACTTAGCACTTGATCTTGAACTATTGCTTAAATTGCTTTGAATTTAATTTATACTGCCATTACTAACTTACTTCTCACCTTAAATTAATCTAAAACAAATGTTAATGTTAGGGAATTAATTATTGTTATTTATAACTTGATACATATACGAACAATGAAAATAAGATATTCCACATTTATTTTTTTAAAAATTTGTCACTTATAAGTAATAAAACAGTAAATAAATAAGAATATCAGTCAATAAAAATAATCAATCTTCCAAAAATTTTTAAAAAAATTTAAAAAAAATTCAAGTAAAAAAATTTTGCTAAAATAAAAATTACCTTTCATTACGTCATCTTGTTTTAAATTATCTTCTGAATTCACAATTATTTTATAACTCATAGGTAAGAAGCTTTTCATGAGTATCATTCCATGCAGTTGGCACTTATGAATTATTCCCTGAAAGTCATAAGTTTCAAAATGGTTAGAAATTCATCAAGCCGTCCTTAAAAAAACGAATCACATTTAAGAATAAGTAAAATAAATCAAAATTACTTTTTTTTTAAATTAAAAACTACTACAAACATTATTTCCAAAAAAATGAAAAGTTTCCAAATTAACTCAAAATAAATTGCATTTATAAAGTTAAGAGATGATATCTTACTTAAAATAGTTGATCCAAGGTCAGAAAAAAAATTTCTACAGAAGCAGCACACAATTTTTTTTTTTAGAAAGAAAGAAAATTTTCATATTAAATTAACTAACTTTTGAACTTTACAAAGACAATTTTATAGAACTCAACTGATATGGCGCAGATACTGAAGAAGCTACTTCAAAAATATCCTTTTTAGTCTTATAAAATGTCATGCAATATTGTTTTAGACTTTATCTGTCTTTCAAACTATTTTCCTAAGAAGAAATAATTCTTAAGCAAAAATTACAAAATATAAACCATTTTTTAAAAAAAGCTGTTTAATATTTTATACAGCTACTATTTAACGAACTTCCACTTTGCGAATTTTTCTATTTTGCAATTCTTTTCAAGGAACCAAGAACATTTTGGAAATTTCTTCGTAAAATAACTTTCAAATAGCGAAGTAAAATTTCTAATTAACGTATTTTTCGTTGAGATGCACTTTCCCTATTTCCCAAAATATTTCAAACTTGTGGATGCATGTTATGGGGGAAATGACTTTATATTGATTTTCGAAGCCACTTTTAGTGAAAGCAGTTAAAATCCCTTTCCTTTTTTGCTTGTATTTCAAACGAAAAACTCAGACAAAATGAATAGATTTTAAGTGTAGCAAATAAACTTAAAGACGCATGTGGAAATGTATGTTTAAAATTACTTTTATAATAAATGCAGCTATAATTTTTTACATAAATTTAGTTTTTTTAGTTGAAAATGTATGTAATGATAGTGTAACACTGAATAATGTTTTGCTCTATTCTTGGTTTCCATACAGATTTCTTTTAGGGTTAAGATTTATAAAATAAGAAGTAAATACTAGTTTACAAGATAAAGGTGTGTCAATTGCGACTTTTAATTATGTCTAGGGTTTATGAATTTAAAACCTGCTTTGTGTTGTTTAAGTATTTAAAAAGGTGTTTTCTTTTTAACGAATTTTCCATATATCGAATTTATTACCGGGATTTAGTGCCATCCCTAAATAATGGTCGACTGTATATATATAACTTAACAAAATATGCAATATATCAAAACTTTATTAATTAGAGCACCCAAAGAATTGACAAAGAGCTGCTAGCCATTTAGATTGATAATTCTTTGTCACTTTAGTCTTAAGCAATAATCTTCAAATTTTTCTTTATACTTGAAAGTTTTCTGCTTAGAGAGAAATAAATTTAAAGAAATACTGATCTTACAGAGCAAAACATTATTCCTGACATCCATTACATCCTGAAAAATGTTTTTAAGGAAAATAGTGAACTACAAAAAAAAATTTACTTATCAGTGCAAAATGTTATTTCAGACGGTATTTACAGTGGTAATTCTCAATCTTTTTAATAAAAAAATATTTGAATAGTTATTTTCCACAAAGAAAACTACATGGAATGGAAAAACAAAACAATAAATTGAACAAAAAATAATTTTGAATTAAAAAGAAAATAGCCTCAAATTGTTTGAGCTATTTCTCTCTTTACAACAAAACATTTTGAAATTACTAACATTGCTTTATGAATATCTAAAAAAATGATGGAATTGCACTTTCAGGAAAAGCGATGAAGAAATGGCATTCAGAAAATTTCTAGGTAAGGAATAATTTGTGCAAAAATACCAAATTCAACAAATCAAAACGTTTTGAATTTGGTCGCTTTCCAATAAAGGAAGCAATAAGTTCCAAGGTCTCCTAATAAAATTTTAAAAACTATACAGCCATAAACAGCACTTAAGTATAAATTTAGATACATAATGTTAAAACAATTATGCAAGGATTATGTAGTTAAAAAATAAACTATGCTTCTAAAAATTTTCAATTTGGTACTCACAAGCATTTTCTCGACTAACTTAAATCTAATCTAAATCTCTAAATCTTTGAACAAAAAAAAAAAGAAATATGTTCTCTAGTTAGCACGTATTTTTTATCATGAACTGATATATCAATCCATAAACTATTAAACAATTACTTTTTTTAAAATTAAAAATCATAAGTAATTTAATCCATAATTTTTGTAATTTAAAATTTAAGTTGCTTGAAAGTCTATGCACATAGCATGTAATTCAAAATAAATGTCATTCTTAAAATTAGCCACAAGTATCGTAAAAGGAAGAAAAAAATTCAATATGAAATTATATATAATTATATAAAAAATAATAGTTATTATTATAACTACATATTTACAAAAACTTTATATTTTCATCAAGAATTTTTTATATTTCATAACCATCGTTGAATAGCCGACCCAGTTTTTGGGTTTATGACTACTAGCGTTCAACTCCGTAGCCGCTGGTAGAATTCGAATCAATCAGTCAACACTAGGACCGAGCCTAGCTCACCTCATCGAGAGGCGAGCGCTCTATCCCCTAAGCCGAGCCTAGCTCACCTCATCGAGAGGCGAGCGCTCTATCCTCTAAGCCGCCATTTCTTAAAGAATTGGTAGGAATTGGCTTGGTGATAATTGGTGTTTTTAAAATTCAGAGTTATGTTTAAAACACTTATTGTTGCTGTAGGCCATTAGGGTGTGATTGCATTTGTTTTCCAGTGGCACTGTCAATGACAAAGAATTTGACTTCTGCCACACCCAGACCCAGTTTTCACGAACACGAGTCCTGCACACTGATAACCAGACTATCCCTTTAAGATACTTGCTTTTTACATTAAACAAAACACTTACTTTAAGCATGTTTTTTAAAACATTCTCTGTTAATGTCCAAAATTTAACATAGAAAATTCTAAGTCAGAGAATCAACTGGCAATAAATTGGCAATTTAATTAGCTTATCAAAAAGATATTGATAAAAAAAGTGTTTTTAGCAAAGCCACGTGCAGTTTAACACTCGCTTGCAGAATTTTAAAAAAAATTCCAACAAGGTTTTCTTGTAGAAAGAAAAATAAGACTATTTTTGGGGTTGCTAAAGCAACAAAATTTTTAACAATATTCAAAGCTGTTACGAAATAATAAATTTTTATGTTCCTAAACTAATTGGGCTTTAAAATAAAATTTTCTACACTCTTAATAAGGGAACAATTTTAATACATACATAAAAAAATAAAATATGTATAAATATTCCTTGCATTAAAAAAATGTTTCATGCAAAACATTTTTTATACCATCATTTCATTACATAGAATGGGGAACATATAAATTTTTTTATGTTAATTAATATAAAATGGAAAAATTAGCTAAGACATTTTTAAACCTAACTATGTTTTGCAATCGAATAATTTATTACCTCTTTGGAAAGATGGAAAATTATTTTTTCAATAACATCAACAAACACTTTATTCTTCAAGTTCTACAAATGAAAAATTCAGATAATTTTAACTTATTGGTGTAAGGAAAAAAACTAAATAAATAAACAAGAAATGCTTTTAAATAACTCTGTGATACAGTATGCACTTTCCTCGATACTTCATTTTGCTGAATATCCACTAGTTTCTGCCTTCCTTAATTTTTACTTAAAAAATGATTAATTTTTACATGAAATTAGTTGTTTTTTATTTGGAACAGTTAACACATTAAAATGTTTTAGTCAAACTCCATTTAACAATAATATAACTTTTCCACTTGCTAAAAATAATAATAATAATAATAAATGCTAAAACTATTTTAAGAGTTCAAGTAACAGATGAGTTTATTAAAAAAAAAAGGGTAAGTTAAGCATTGTTACAATAAAAACAAAACACAAGGAATATTATAGTGAACTAATATTACCTAAAATTATAATTTCAGAGCTTTTTGAATTTTTTTTTAACTAAAGAGGAATAATCTTTAAAAAGAAGTTATCAGAACAATAAATCGATTTCAAAGAGTAACGCACTTGAATTTTTTATTATTCAATAATTACACATCCTACCGCTTTGTAGGGAAAAAAAAGTTAATAACGCGTAGCTATAAAATTTTGGTAAAGCAATTTTAATCCACAATCCAAAAAGCAATTTTAATTAAATTTTTAATTTGTCATATGTATTGCATAATTTAGAGTAAAACATTGCAATAAAACCTTAAAAATTTGTGACTAGAAAATTTTAAAAAAAATGTGTAACAATATCTTTCAGTTAGTGTTCCACAAATTTAAAAAATAAGAAAGAAAAATATAGTTTACTGCGGAAAATAAGAACTCAAAACTTTTAATAAA